GCTGGGGAGAACAGCACAGGCAGAGCCACCGTGGACGGCAGCTTGGTAGTGTGTTAAAACATGCCCCTTCTACCATTGGCAAGTTTTCTGGAATGTTTTTATCAYAGGAAGAAAAAACTACCTGTGCTCCTAAGAAGGTTTATGCAAAGATTTCCATTTTAACTTTGAAAAAAATAATAGCAGACCAGCTGGGTGCCATGGCCCACGCCTGTGATCCTAGCAAATCCAGAGGCTGAGGCAGGAGGATCCCACGTTCAAAGCCAGCCTCGGCAACAGCAAGGCCCTAAGCAAATCAGTGAGACCCTGTGTCTAAGTAAAATACAAAATAGGGCTGGGGGTGTGGCTCAGTGGTCGAGTGCCCCTGAGTTCAATCCCCAGTACCTGCCCCCCCCCAATAAAATAAAATAAATGACAGCAGGCAGATGTTTGCTGTTTAAGTGTCCAGTGATAGGTGGATGCGTGGGTAGATCAGGATGTCTTAGAATTAAGTGTATTAAGTAGCAGTCAAAATGGCAAATCAGAGTTCTAGAAACCAGTATTCCCTGATTTCAAAAACATTGCTGGGTGAAAAATAATTATTCTGAGTGCAGAATACTTTTTACAATACTCATTTTTATAAAACATAAACAATATCATACAGGTACCTGTATTTTGAAACATGTATTTTTTTTTTGAGAGAGAGAGAGAGAATTTTTTAATATTTATTTTTTAGCTTTCGGTGGACACAACATCTTTATTTTTATGTGGTGCTGAGGATCGACCCAGTGCCCCACGCATGCCAGATGAGCGTGCTACCGCTTGAGCCACATCCCCAGCCCACATGTATGTTTTTAACATGTACGAATGCATGGAAAATTCTTTTTAAATGTCTGGAAGAATAGAGGCCAAACTGATAATATTGGCGAAACATTGAGGGGTCTTTGGAGGAGAGGGGAAGTGGAGGAAAGAGAACTTCACTTCTATCCTCAGTGCTCTAAAAGAAGGTGATGTGTCAAAAGACAGAATGACAACAAACTCAGTTACAGGTTGAAGGAGTCTACCACCTTGAGCGAGCTAGGCCTGCACCCCGCCCCAGCCCCTTGCATTGCCTTTCACTCACGAATCAGAGCGTCCTGCACTGCACAGCGTGGAGTGAGAGCCCTGCTGCACGGTGGCCTGACAGTGGTTGACTTCAGGCAGCTTCAGGTGCTCTTCCTCCCACGTTGACTCTGGTGGGCTGGAATCTCCTGGGTTGTTTTTTTTTTTTTTGGAAACTGGCCTGTCTGGGGATTTGCCTGCTTCCTTAAAAGTTTCAGATTGCTTCTGTGGCACTTATGGTGAGTGACTCCATTCTGGTTTGGGGAGGTCTGTTGGGGTCCAGGCCCCAGGATGGCATCCTATCATTTTGTTCCACAAATGCTCCTGTGGTTGCAATAAAACAGGGGGAGTGGCAGGGCAGCGTCCCAGGCGGTGGCCTCCTGTTGTGGAGCAGTGGAATGGTGTCACAGGTGGAGGCGTGGGGGCAGGTGATGGGCAGGCTGAGGCTCTGGTGGGTGTGAGGCTGGGCAGGGCAGCTTGGGCCTGAGGTCAGCCCCAGTTGGTCATTCATGAAGCCTTTTCTGAGCAGCTAGGGGGGCTCTAGGAGGGAAGCAACATTTTGAAAGTGTTTAAGATGCTGGTTGCTTTTGCCCCGGCAGTTGTGAGGCATCACCCTGAGTGGACAGAAGGAGGACGAGGAGGACTAACAGGGTCATGGGATTCACAGGAGACCTGGCAGCCGCGAGCGGCAGGCTGCTGCTCTGAACTTCCTAACTTCCTGGGCCGTCAGTCYCYGACTTACGGTGGTTGGACCTCATGYTCTTTAGCATTAGGCTGGTGTGAAAGCTCATCCGCACCATCATTCTGTGCAGGGTTCAACAGACGACGAGAGCTACTTGAACGCTTTATTGTAAAACAGGCTCTGAGCTAAATGGCTTTGCCCAGTGTTGCCAGGCTGGGTGTTCGGAGCACGTCTGAGGGAGGCCGGGCTCAGCCTTGACGATTGCGACTTGCGGTGGTTTCATCARGATGAAAAGCGATTGTAGTGGGGGAGTACCTGTATCTAGCCTCACCTTTGTGAGATTCAGCCCCTGTCATAAATACTGAAACAGGCCRGCTACACCACACAGACCTTACTTCTCTCCTATAAAACCCGGATCGAGCACTCCASGAAGACACTGGTCTGGGTTGTTGGGTTCCCAGGCCACTTCTGTCCTTCTGCTTGGTACGCCCTGAGTGTGGACCCATCTGTCTCAGATGGCTGGTGCAGTGCCCACGTACATGGGCACCCCTGCCTGGCAGCTGGCAGCTGGCAGGAAGCGGGGGGGGGGGGGCTTGCCTTTGTTTTGCACGCTGGCGGCCAAGACTAGGGGGGGCTCTCTTCCCGGGAACTGCAGGAGGGAGGGGTCAGGGAGAGGGAGCAGGAGAGAAAGCACACAGACAGAAGCCCAGTTCTCCCACTCTGGGCTCAGAAGAGGGGCAACTGTGGTGGCCAACGTGGCTGGCAAAAGGCCACCTGCTCCACGAAGTGGATGGCCCAGTAGGGTCAGGCAGGGCAGTTCCTGAGGCCCAGCTGACCAAACCCACCGGCTTCCTGTTCTAGTGTGGACAGAGCCCAGGGCAGTTGAGAGCCCACCAGGAATGTCAGAGGGGTGCACAGCACAGCCAGGTGCCTCTGTGGCAAGGCAGAAAAGTGTAAATTCAAAGCTGGCTGCCGGACTTGCCAAACAAACACGCAGGATCCCAGCTTGATCTGGGTTTCAGATAAACAAGGCGTGATTTTTTAGTACAAGCATGTCCCATGTCCCGTTCATCACTTGGAATTCAAATTTAACTGGGCACTCTGTATTTTATCTGGAAACCGTATAAGGTGAGGGGTTCAGAGGGCCCATCCAGGCCTCAGAGGAGTCTGGAGCCTTGAAGGGAGCCAACACAAGCTCCGGGCAGACGCCGGCACCTCCAGTCTTGGCCGGCACCACGGTCGAGGCCCGTATTCAACGACCTTAGTCACTGTCCCCACCCTCGGCATTTATGGAAGCTTGGGGCCTCATAAAGCTCAACGTCTGCAACGATAATAAATAGGCCCAGTTAACTTGGCTGGGCAGCAGCTTCAGGCCTGACCCTGGACGCTCCAGGCGCAGAGGGAGGCCTCGTCCTCACACTGGCCCCTTCTCCCCCGCTCAGAGCACTCTCTGCCAGTTTCCGGCGAGCTTCTGTGCCTGGGACCCTGAGGAGGGCCCTTTGGCAGATGCCCTCTCTGGGTCCTGCAGGGATAGGGGGTGTGGTTCCTGCAGAGCCCAGCCTTGGGGCTCAACTTGGTCAGTGCTCTGCATCTAGAAACCCTGCCGAGACCGGATTCCAGCCTTTCCACCCCACTGTCTTTTTGTTCCCTTTAAGTTGTAGGAACTGAGAAAAGCAAACGGTCTTGTCCCGTAGGCCACCCTACCCCTGAGAGGACTCTTCTGTCTCCACTTCCTGTCGTGAGGGGCCATGCCAGTAACACAGACCTCACATGCCCGTGTCTCTCCACAATGTCGGAATTATTAAATAATAAATTCATAAGCTGTACCCCTCTCAATTCACTAAATACTCTTGGGCCACCTGATAATCATAAGTCAGACAATCACAAGTTCTCTTATCCCCTCCAATCTTAATTTCTAATATCTATAATACTCAAGTTCCACACCATACTTCACACAATGATATATATATGTGTGTGTGTGTGTATGTATGTGTATATATAGTTATTTTATATATACACATAATGTTATATATATATATATATATATATATAACATTATATATATAATGTTATATGTTCACAGAAAGACTAGAAAAGAGTTAAGGTAGTTGGTATCTTTGGGTTTACAGGATGCTGTTCCAAGAGCCCAGGCAGAAATATGAAGTAGTCATCGGAGTCACCGTAGGTGATTAGATAAGGATTTCAATGAGCCAGTTCTGCAGAGCTGTCAAGGCAGGCAGACAGAAGGTTTCCGACTGTCAGCTTGGAGTGCCTGATTGAGGTGTCAGCTTGGAGTGGCCATGCGTGGTCATCATGGGCTGAAGAAACTGCTGTGTGAACCCTGAAGGGACAGGTTGCTCTAGCAATCTTCTTGGGCCAGGCTTGTGATGAGTGACCAGATGACGGGGCCAGGGGGGCTGCGCCTGGTGAGCGTGATAAGCTCCTGTGTCTGGTGTCTCTGGTGTGAACCTGGGAGCCCTCATGTGCAGGTGCTCCCTGATTCGGTTAGACAAGTTGGCACAGATAAGTTATTTATCAATTTGTGCCTGCTGGTGGTGCTGGGCAGATGGTGGTTGTTAACTTGTGCAAACAAGGTGTGGAGTCATTCTACCTTGGCACCTGAACTCAAAAGGGAGTGGAAAAGGCAAACTCCCGCCTTGCAGAACGGAAGGCTGGGCAAGCCTGAAAACTGCGGCTCTGCAGGTCACAGAGTCACTGGGCAGKGCACAGCCTGCTCTCCACACTTACCTATTCCCTTCCAGATTCCTCATTGCAACTGGACTCTTTTCCAGGTGCTTCTGAACAGGTTTCTGCCTCATTCCTTTATTGATTAACGAGTAGAACACAATCTTTAGCAGTGGTTGATATTTACACACGAATGAGAATCAGGATTTTACCTTTTTCTGAAAATTATCTTTTAATAGGGGCCGCGAGTTCCGAATTAAAATCCCGTTTCTACCATTTGCTGACCCTGTGACTTCTGGTAGATTCCATTTATCTCAGAAAAGCCTCGGWTTGCACACAGAGCGCGAAGACGCAGAGAAACCTCCAAATCTCCTGCAAGGGGGCTCAGAACCCTCCTAGGCCCCGCCCMCAGGCCCCGCCCACTACCAGGCCCCGCCCCCARCCCTTCTCGGACTACTTATTCCCCKCCTGCCCCGCGGCCTAGAGCCCCAGCGCGCGGAGTCCCGCGGAGCCCAATCGCCGCGCGCTCCCGCGCTACGTACTTCCCATTGGCTGAGGGCGGGGGCGGGGGCGGGCCCGGGCCTGCGATTGGCTCTCGGAGCCGGTGTCGCGGCGGCCAGAGCGCCAGATCATGGAGCCTTCTACGGTGCTGACCCGGGCCACCGTGCGGCGGCGGCGGCAGGGACCGGCGGCCCCGGAGGCGATGGCGCGGAAGGAGCCGGATCGGTTGCCCAGGCGGCAGCGGCGGCCGGGGCGTAGGTGGGCACGGCGGGGTCCGGCGGAGGGGCGGCGGCACCTGGGCCCAGGTCCCCACGGACCACCAGGGCTGCGGGTGCGTCCCACCGCCCGKCCCGCCGCTGCGAGGGGCAGACCCCCAAGCGAGCCGCAGGGCCCGTCCCCTCCTCAGAGCTGGGTGCCACGGCCACTACCCACATCCCGCGAGGCGTTTGCAATGGCCCAGCAGTTGCAGCTGGTGGAAGGGGTTGGCTTTCTGAAGGGGTGACACTTGAACTGAGGCTTTAGGGAGCAGCACAATGGTCAAAGGTCAGAAAAAGGGCCCCCTCTAGGGGCCATTTGCCCACCTGGAAGCCCCTGGTCAGTTAGGACCACGCGGTGGCAGACCCCGCTTGGTTTTCAAGCCCGAAGTAATGAGGCGGGTGAGCATGGACTGGAGGTGGGCAGCCAATGGCTGTTGGCTGGTGGGAAAGCTTTTTGGATAGGAGGAAAGTTGGAGGAAAAAAGGTGACAAAGGCAGCAATGTCCCGAGAGGCCCTTCAGGGAGCAGCTGAAGGGTGGACAGATCATTCCAGAAGGGGGCACTGGAAGAGGAACCTGGGGAATGAAACTTGAAAAGAAGCATTTTCCTTGGCACCTCCACTTTCACCTCAGACACTTTTGCAGTTCCCAGAGGTTCTCTGCCTCAGGGTCCTGCAGAGGGAGTAGTGACAATAGGCCTTTGCCCTGAAGTGGAGTGCTGGCAGGTGACACCCCAGTGGACAGAGGGGCAGCCTCAGGCATTGAAAGATTTAGAGAATTCAGACACTGATTCCCATGGTCCTAAATGGCTGCTGTAGTATCTATTCTTAAAATCATATATATATATATATATATATACACACACACACACACACACACACACATGATCATATTTTTAATATGATATATATTTTAAGCATATGAGTTTATATTTTTAAGTGTAGGTGTGTGTATATATATATATATATATATATATATATATTTATATTTATATTGAATCAGAGCTTTCCATCTTAATGTACCAAAGGCACTGTTTCTTGTGTTATCGGTCCATGAAGGCTGAAGAGTTAGTGCTGTGGAATACACTTAGGGGAAGGAGGATAGGAGGGGATAGGCCAGGAAGCCTGGCCCTTGCTCTCTTAAGACAGTACTTTGTTGGTACCTTGAGTAGCCCTTACCCCTCGTCCCTGTGGACCTGTGAAGACTGTCTTTGGTCTTTGGCGTGTGTCTAGCTGTTCTGGTGGGTGAGGTGTTTATTCACAGGAGTGATTTTTGGCATCTGTGTCCAAGCGGAAGCCCGTCCTGTGGCTAACACAGGCACCTGGAAGATCAGACAGAGCTCCTTAACTCCTCTGGTTCAGCACCTGTTTCCATAGCTTGTGTTAAATACCTACCATTTACTTCCAAGCATTTTTTTTTACCCTTTTATTAAAAAAATTTTTTAAACTTTCTCTTTGCCTAGAATCAAAGAGGACCAAGAAGCAGCAGCAGTCTTTCGAGAAGTGGTCAGTTTCACTCCGGATCCTTTGCCAGGTAAGAGGATCTGGGCTCTGAATAATCTTCTGCATTACTCTGGGAGGGTGGCTCCCCACCCTCTTAGGTTCTCCCAGTCATCATGAAAACATTTCCACTAACCAGAATTTTCCATTGATTCCTCACTGCTTCCTCCTCGGACCAGTTAGATATTATGACAAGGACACCACAGAACCCATCAGCTTTTACTTYTCTTCGCTGGAGGAACTCCTGGCCTGGACGCCCCGCATGGAAGATGGCTTCAATGTGGCCCTGGAGCCCTTGGGGTGTCGTCAGCCCCCACTGAGCAGCCGTAGGCCCCGGACCCTTCTGTGCCATGACATGATGGGCGGGTACCTGGACGACAGGTGAGGACGAGCTCGAGTTGRCCTACTGCTGGTCATCCTCTGGTGGGCCGCAGGAGGGAGAATATCATGCCGTAAACAGAAGACGCCTTGGACTGCAGTCGGAGGTGGGCTCTGGACCGGCCGGGGAGGGGGCTTCATCTGTGAGAAGGTGTGGTTGGGTGATCTCCTCTCTTCGGCTCCGGAGTCATCTGGTTCCTTAAAACCTGGTGGACTTGAGGGGACACAGTAGGGATGCCCCTCTGTCTGCCTGGCCACTTGGTTTGTCTTTGTAGCTCTTCCCCACACCCTGYACTGGTCTGGGTCTGTTGGCTGTGGCTTCTGGTGTGCAGCTRTGCCCATCCCATTCGGGCGAGATCTGATCTGTCCATAAAACAGTCTTGGATGTGGTGATTGGAAGGAGGCTTGAGTAGAGCTAGCCTGTACCCTGACAGGCAGGCCACGAAGCCTCACCTTCACACCAGGGAGACTGTCCAGGGCRCTGCTGACCTCTGCAGAGAGGAGGTCACAGCCATGGAGAGCCTGTTTCCTCTCYTTTGTTCCATCGGCTCACAGCAGCCAGAAGTGCCCAGTCCACACAGATGGAGTGGCAGGTGCCAAACACCCCGCAGAGACCCTTCTCTCCTAGCCGCCTTGACAGCAGGAGTGCAGCCTGTTCCTGCTTCTGGCGCTCCCTGCGTGGGCTGCCCACAGCAGGCTGTCTGCCAGTGCTGACCGAGGGGAACCTAGGAGAGACCTTGCTCAGGGCTGCCTCTGTTCCCCTGAGCTCGCTGTGTCCTCATTCTGTCTCCTGGGACCTGAGTTTGTTCTGTTTCTTCACCAGGTTTATTCAGGGCTCAGCGGTGCAGAATCCCTACTCCTTCTACCACTGGCAGTACATTGACATCTTTGTGTACTTCAGCCATCACACGGTCACCATCCCCCCCGTGGGCTGGACCAATGCTGCCCACAGGCACGGGGTCTGTGTGCTGGGTAAGAGCCAGGCTCATTGGCACAACGCTGGGTGACCCAGCCACTAGAGGTGGGGCTTTGCTTCCTGATAGGGGCTGGCTCAGTGGCCAGGTCAGGTATTTGCACCCTTCTGGAGACGACCAGACAGTCACTGTTTCCACTGGGCAGTTGGTCACTGCTAGTGGCTAGCATGAAAGCCGCTGTACACACAGATGGGCAAACAGGCCGATGCTGCCTTGCTCGCAAGCTCGGGGTGGCTGACTCTCCCGGTGAGGCAGTTCCTCTCCAGGTTGGAGCCGAAGCCAGGTACTGGTGTGCACGCAACCACACTGCTGGGCCCACCGGGCGTCTCCGGCACTAGCTGAATTTGACGGTCCAGCAGGTTTTCGAGTGCTGCTTATGCTAGCATGTTGCAGCCCCCCGGTGGAAGGTAAGGCCTGACTCGTTCCTCTGCTTTCCCACAGGGACTTTTATCACGGAGTGGAATGAGGGGGCCCGGCTCTGCGAAGCCTTCCTGGCGGGGGAGGAGCRCTCCTACCAGGCGGTGGCCGACCAGCTGGTCCAGATTGCTCAGTTTTTTCATTTCGATGGCTGGCTGATCAACATAGAAAACTCTCTGAGTGTGAGTACGGCCTGGGCCTGGGCCTCTGCCACCAGCCCCATGTGTTGCCACCCCTCTCACCCCAGTCACAGCAGCAGAAGCCATTTTTTGTGAGGCAGAGCTGGCTCTGCCACCTGTGCCATCTGTGTGACCGTGGACCAGGATGGGTCTTCCCCAGGAGCCTTGAGTGTGCTGGCTGCACCCTCTCGCTCCCCCAGGGTGGCCAGGCCTGCCTCTGCCCTGCTCTGCCSTGGGCTGGGTGGAGCTTCCCTTCCATGGCTGTCCTCCCCTTCCTCTGTGTTGGTCTTTTCCTGAGTTCTGACCCATATCCTTCCTGTCCAGCAAGAAAGGAGTCGAACATCTGGCTGATCCTTCTCTTTCCTTCTGTGAGGTTGAGGGGATTTGGGGACGGTGGCTTTTTTTCTTTTCTCTTCCTGGTCCCGCCATCTGGACTCAGTGGACCTTTACCACTGAGCGATATCCCCAGCCCTCTTTGTTTTCTATTTGCAGACAGGGTCTTGCTAAGCTGCCCGTGTCTGGTCTTGACTTGTGGTCCTCCTGCCTCAGCCTCCTGGTAGTGGGGATCAGAGGCCTGCCCCACCATGCCCCAGGACCCTGCCTTTTTTGCATGATCTTTGCTCCTCTGTGCTCCTGTCTGCCCTGGCATGCGTTCTTTTCCTGACCAACACACCTGGCCTGCCCAAGGGTCTGCCCTCTGTCTCCCCAGCTGGCCGCTGTGAGGAACACGCCTCTTTTCCTGCGGTACCTGACCACTCAGCTGCACCGTCAGGTCCCAGGGGGCCTGGTGCTCTGGTACGACAGTGTGCTGCAAAGTGGGAGCCTCAAATGGCAGGATGAGCTCAATGAGCACAACAGGTGAGCCGTGGGCAGTGCCCAGAGGGAGCAGGCTGCGGGCCTGTCCATGGGGCATCCCACATAGGTCTGCGTGGGCAGACAGAGTGGGAGGGCCCGGGTCCTGCATTGCCCTGATGCTCAGCAGGCAGAATCAGTGCACAGCTACCCTGGTGCTGTGCGAGGGCTGCGGGTGGCAACCTGTAGCTGGGCTCTGCTGTTTGGGAGCAGACTCTGTCCAGGGCAACCTGGATAGAGAGCCCGTGAGCCAGGAGCGGCCACCAGTATAGCGCAGGCTGAGTGCGACAGGCCTGTCCCTTAGGCCTGGGCCTCAGAAGGTCCCTGCCACCCCCAGGGTCTTCTTTGATTCTTGTGACGGCTTCTTCACCAACTACAACTGGCGGGAAGAACACCTGGAGCGGATGCTGGGCCAGGCGGGGGAGCGCCTGGCCGATGTGTACGTGGGTGTGGACGTGTTTGCCCGCGGGAATGTGGTCGGAGGCCGATTTGACACGGACAAGGTGGGTGGTGGCCTTTGGGCCAGAGGGCCGGAGGCCTGCAGGCCCTTCCTGGGCCTCCTTTTGCTGTGGACCTTCAGGCCCCAGCTGTACTTCAAGGGAAAGCACAGTGGCAGCTGATTCTCCCCAGAGTGGGGGCAACTGGACCCTGAGGAATGGCAGCAGCCTTCCCTGGGACTGAACTGTCCCAACTGGAGCAGTCCCTGGTTTCSGGTGTCAGTGAGCAGAAGCCTCCTGTCCCAAGCTTGTCTGGGCTCTCACCAGCTCTGACGTCCTTTCCGGATCGCATGCTCTGAGGAGCGTTGCTCCAGCCACCCCCTCCCCAGGTAGACTTAGGGTCACGGAGGGCTGCAGGCTTCCCACGACAGCTCAGGGGTCCAGGACTGCGGCAGAGCGCCTCGGTTGGGGAACAGCTGTGTAAAAGAGCGTGATTTCCTAGCAAGGRGACCGGCACTGGGGCCTTCGCCTGTCGGTCCTGCCCCTTCCTGGCCATAGGATGCTCAGGTGTTAGGTGAGCTTGAAGGGAACCGACCCATAGCTAGAGTCTGCCTGTGTGCTCTAGTCTCAGGGCCACCCGTGTGAGTGGGAGGGAGGAGGCAGCGCACTGAGCTACAGTGCCCCAGAGGCACCCTCTGTACCTTCCTCTCGCCTGGCCAGCCTGTGGACCCACAGGATGAGGCCCAGAGCCCCCAGGCAGCGTTGGAGGGCTGTGGCCTTAGAGAACTGTCCCTGTGACCTGTGCCCAGCAGGTGTATTTGCATTCTCAGATCCCGTCTCTGACTTCTGTCCCCTCAGTCGCTGGAGCTGATCCGAAAGCATGGCTTCTCCGCAGCGCTGTTTGCCCCTGGCTGGGTGTATGAGTGTCTGGAGAAGGCGGACTTCTTCCAGAACCAGGACAAGTGAGCCCTCTCCCAGGGCTTCTCATGGGCTGGCGGGGGAGGCATCCAGGTGTTCTCCAGGTGTCCTGCTCTGGGGTGGCTACAGGAGGACAAGGGGACAACCTTGCTGTCTCCTGGAGGGCTCGGACCAGCTGGGCTGGAGGACCAAAGACTGGGGAGCCTGAGTGGCCACTTCCTGCAGCTGCGCCCCTCTGGCCTGTCCTTAGCTGGGGGCGGCAGTTGCTCTCGAAGGCCTGTCTTGGAGTTTGCGGGAGAACCCCGAGGCTTGACCACGGGCCCAGGGATGTTGCAGGGTCCTTTTCAGTGGACCGCGCTGTCCCTCCCTGTGTTTCTGTAGGTTCTGGAGTTTGCTGCAACGCTTCCTGCCCACACATAGCATCTGCTCCTTGCCCTTCGTCACGTCTTTCTGCCTGGGCATGGGGACACGGAGAGTCTGCTATGGCCAGGTACGTGGGCCATGTGCTGGGTGGACACTGTGGGGAAGGGGCCCTCCTCCCCGCCTCCTGGCTCAGCTGGGCAGGAGGGAGCGGTGGTGGGCGTGGAGACGGCGGCCTGCGGCACCTGCGCCCTCCTGCTTGTGCGAGGAGGAGTGCACGYCTCTCCCTTTCTCTGTGTGCCCTTCATGCAGGAGCAGGCCGTGGGGCCCTGGTACCACCCGAGTGCCCAGGAGACACAGCCCCTGTTTGGGGAACACAAGCTGCCCGGGGACGGCGGGGGCTGGGTGAAGATGCACTGCTGCCTGGCGGATGCCTGGCACGGGGGCAGCTCCCTGCTGCTCCAGGGGGTGATCCCGCCTGAAGTTGGCAATGTGGCTGTGAGGTGGGTGAGTGATGGGTGAGGCGAGTGGCCATCGGCTTCATTCTCTGTGTTGACTAATAAATGATAGTGGGGCAGCGGAGGCCAGAATGAGGATGGTGGACAGGCCTAGTTTATTTTTTTAAAAAATTGGGGTCATTTGGGAGGCTAAGGAAGGAAGACTGCAGGTGTGAGGCCGCCTTGGCAACTTGGTGAGCATCTGTCTCAAAATGAAAGTTGAGCTGGGTGTGATGGTGCACATATATGATCCCAGCAACTCAGGAGGCTGAGGCAGGAGGCTGCAAATTCAGGCTCGTCTCAACAACTTAGCGAGGCCCTGCCTCAAAATAAAAAATGAAAAGGCCTGGGGAAGTAGCTCAGTGGAGAGCACTCTGTGTTTAGCCCTAGTACCACACACACACAAATTGCAGTTCAGAGAGCATGGCGGGAAACCACTTCAGCCGTTCCCTTAAGCTGCGTGCACGTTGTCATGCAAGAGATCTCCAAGCTTTGCCACCTTGCAGAAGCACCCCGCGGGGCTCCCACACCCCCTGCAGCCCTGGAAGCCACCCTTCTTTCTGCCCCTGTGTGTGCGACTCCTGAGCTCATGCCAGTGGAGTCAGCGTATTTCAGAACCAGGACTTTTCAGCCCACAAGAGAATCTGGCCACGGGGAAGACTGTCCCCTAGTGGCGGCAGGACCGGAGTGTAGGGCTCCTGCTGACGGACCTCCCTCTTCCTGGTGGATGCCGTGGGACCGCCCCGCTCCCCACAGAACGCCCTGCCACCTCTCACAGGGTCGTCCTCTCTCAGGTTGTTTTCCCTGCAGATCCCCGTGCCGCCCAGAATATTTCTGTCCTTGGTGTATAAGCTCGAAGGGCCCTCAGATGTCGGGGTCGCTTTGGAGCTCACTACAGGGGATGCTGGCGGCTGTCACATTGGCAGCATCTCAGTGCTGAATGGTGAGTTGCTGGGGAGATCCCAGGAGGCGGGCATCTGGAAAGGCCACGGCTGTGGGGAGCAGCTGGGGTGGACGGTGTTGGCAAGTCCTGCCTTCCCTGTGGTGAGGGCAGCTGGGACAGGGAGGACTCACTTCCTAGCCATAACCTGAACCTTGGTTAGCAGCAGCAGATTCCTGGCTGGGTGGACTTGGGCCCCCTGCTGGCTGAGGCACTGAGAGGGGCCTGTCAGTGGGACAGGGAGATGGCACATTGGGAGAAGCTGGCATGGGCGACACTGGCCAAGCCCAGACATGCATCCCATTTGTTCTTTTCCAAAGTCCTTCCTGGTGGTCCCCCAGTGCCTGCACCTCCAGGGGTCTTATCTGGCCTATGGGAGATAAGGCCCCTGCCAGTGGACATCTTACTCCCTCTGGTCTCCCCTACCCTGTATTATTTGGGAGGGATTCTTCTTTCTCAAGCCTATGCCTCCTTCTCCAGCAGAGACAGGTTCCAGGCAGAGCCTCCAACCCCTCCAGGTACCCCCCACCAAGCTGGCCAGATGGGCAGGCCACTGTGGCCAGCCGCTCAGCGGGGGCTGGATCCAGCGGTAAGTCCCTCTGTTTTGTGCAAGACCACAGGAGGGGTGGCTGCACATTGGGGGACTTGTGGAGTCACAGTCCCCAATGAGAATACCCAGGACTTTGGTGTAGAGACCTTGGACTGTCCCTCTGGGTCTGGGCCAGCTCCAAGATAAAACCCAGGACACTTGCTCAAGGTCACGGCAGGGACCTGCCATAGACCTGGGGTCCCCACAACCTGGAGTACACCAGTGTGCCTCTCCCCCTTGTGGCTGGAGCCTCTGCCCAGCTGGCCTGGGAGCGCTGCGCTGAGCCAGCYTGACCAGCCCGTGCACCTCCCCCAGCTGCTACGAGGTGAGCCTACGTGGGTGCCTCCTGCAGGACCTCTTCGTGAACTTCTCACGGCCTCCGGGAAGCCGGAAGAAGGAGAGCTTCGCATGCCGCCTTGGCGAGATCCAGGTGCACATCCGGGAGGGGCCAGCCGAGGTGTCTGTCTCCTGCCCTGGGGAGGGCTGCCTGGGGCTCTCCCTGGTCCTGCAGGGAGGTGGGCAGGCAGCCTCTCCTTCCCCGGGCCCCGCTGGCTGAGCCTTCTCTCCTGCCAGGTGGTGGATGCTGACAGCCTGCTGGCCCCTCTGCACCAGGTGCAGGACGTCACTGTCTCCCAGGTCCGCTGGCAGCAGCCCGCCCCTGTACTGGAGGGCCGACCGGTCCGGCTCAGGCTCAGCTGCCTGCTGCACTGGTCCTACCTCCTCCTCCAGGTGCGGTGCTTCCGAGTCCACTGCTGGGAGGGGACTAGAAGTGACTCTCCCAGCAGAGAGCCTCCAGGGCCAGAGAAGCCCACATTCCTGGGCCTGGCTTTTGCCAACCAGTACCGGGTGGTGGACTTGGTGGTGGAGGCTCCTGGACCCCGCCAGGATGGCCGTGTGGAGTTCCTGGTGGAGCCTGTCCCCAGGGAGGGCTTCCTGGTGCCTCAGGCGGAGTGGGGCAGGGCGGCCCTGCTCTATTCCTCCCCACGGTAAGCCAACCCCAGGCAGACTCTCCTCACCCAAGACTCAAGGTTTCTTGGTGGCTGCCGCAAGCTGCCCTAGGTCCCACTCAGGAGGTCAGGTCCTTAGAGGGTTGCCCCCCAGCTCCGCTGTGGCCTCTGGTGGGGCGTTGGTTGTAGGAAGCAGATTGCTGACTGATGGTTCTGCTGTTGTGGGACCCCTCTCCACAGTGCGTGGTTCCCAGGGTAAAAGGAGAGGATCTGGGGAGGTTTTGTCTGGAGAATTACATAAAGGATGTTCCCTAACAGGCTGAAAGGCTTTGATGCTGAGAACAGTGACCTTTTGTTCCTGAAGACCCAACTGAAATGGTGGCAGGGAGGCTCTGGGGCAGAGCCAGGGCCCATCGGAGGTCTTCTGAGGTGGCCCTCAGGGTGGTGGGCAGGAACGAGGGCTGTCTGCAGGGCAGGGCGGCAGAGACGGTGTCTTGGGGGATGGAGCTCAGGGCTGGCTGGCACTGCGTGTGTCCTGCCCCCAGCTGGAGAAGGCGGGCTGCCACTGACCAGACCACTGCGGGAGCCAGCAGGCCTTGGCCTCCGCTGCSTCTCCTCCAGGTGACAGGCTCACAGCGAGCTTCCACTCAGGCAGTGTGGCCCGGGTCGCCTGCCGCCCCTTTCCCTCTGCTCTCTGCCTTCCCCCTCCCTGGYGGCTTTGGCCCGCTGACACTGTCTTTAGGCCTCGGTGGTGCAGCCTGGCCCCTGCTCTCCTTCGAGTGCCTGTGTGGAGTCTGCTGTGATGATGGACAGGGTCAGAGGTTCGCAGGGGTGTCGCCCCCAGGCCACACAGGGCCACTGTTGGGGTTCACCTTCTCTGCCCCTGTCCTCTTTCTATGCTGGAGGTCTTACCTGGGGCGGGATCTGTGGTAAGGGAAGAGGTTACCAGGTGGCCAGTGTAGGGGGCTGACCAGCTGGACCAGGCCAGGAGCCTAGAGGGCAGGGGCTCAGCTCTGCCCCCTCCCTTCCTGTGTTCCCTGGTCCTCTCTGGAGTGGAGTTCCATGCTCCTTCCTGACTGAATGTTCTTCCATGTCTCCCAAGGGCCACCCAGCCCTCAGGTGGACAAGTGAGGACCCAGGGCACTGGGCAGGGCCATGTCTTCCCAGCTGGGGGTATGACACGGTGCCAGCCAGCCATGTCTCTCTGGCTAATCCAAAACTGAGGCCACCAGTGCTGGCCCTCCTGCGTTCTAGACAGCTTGGATGGGCAGTTCTGGGACCGGGAGACCATGGCCGCTCCTGCCGGCCTGCCGTGTGCTCTGCTCACCGCTTTCTCTGATTTGGATCTCCAGTTTGCCATTCCCCGGGGCACCTGGAGTGCGCKCAGCCCGGGTGCCCAGAGGAGGCGTTGGGGTGCAGGGCTGGCCGGGCTGCCCACCTGGCCTTGGGGCCCTGGCTGCCAGATGCCCAACAGCYGCCTCAGTGTCCCGTTTGCCCCGTTTCCTGAGGCCTGGCTTTAGTTATTTATTTAAGTGCAAATATTTTATGTAGAGAAGAAGGGRAAATTTATAGTGGCAATTATTTTCTCACAGTCTGGTGAGCAAGCAATTAGAAGTGAGGGGGCTTAGTGGAGCATGGCATGTGACAGAGCCATGCAACCCCGCTCCCCAGGAGCACRGTCCCCAGTCCCAGCCATACAAACTTCTATGCAAGAAAATTAATCTGCCGGCATTTAAGCCCGGGCCCCTCTGGTGGGTGTAATCACTCTGAAATAAATTATCCAATGTGATGAAGAATGAGAGCTCGTGTCTTGGTGAGAGATCTGGCTCCTTCCCTGGCCCCAGCCCACGGCGCTTAAGCTCTTGGTTTGGATTCTGCTGCTTCCCCTCCCATTCTCCATCCTCACTTGCCTCTGGCCACTCTCCCAGCTCTGCTCTGGCCCTGTCCACCCTTGCAGGAGCGAGGGCTCAGAACCTGGAGGTGGGAGAAGCGTGGCAGCTCCTCATGGGTCACAGTTCAGGGCTGACCACGCCAGAGAGGCCGAGTCTTTGGGAGTCCTGGAGGGTCGTCAGCCGCAGATGTGCCGTGTCCACCCCAGCTCTGTGCCCTCTCTGCATCAGCTGACCAGCACAGCTGTGGCTGTGCCCAGGCTGACCCTCCCATCTCTAGGCTGCCTTCTGCCCCAGTGAGGTGGCGCTGCCCGGGAGAGGAGACCATGCCACTCCTCCCCTGCCGGTTCAGTCTGTCCCCGATTAGGGTGCAGAAGGCCAGCCTGGAGAAGAGGGTTGGGACTTTAAAATCTCCTGCCCAGAGGGTCTTTCCSCTCCCCATTGCCTCCTGGTGGGGAAAAGGTGCCTGTTCTGGGTGCAGCCTGCACCCCAGTCCTGTGTGTCCCCCGGTGCCCAGAGCTGCTAAATCAGAAAGAGCTGTCCTGGCTTGCAGAAAGAAGTCTTTATTAATAATCTTAATAGTAATAATACTGTTAATTTGAATGGTCACACCTTGGAAGCATACAGAATGGTAAGAAAGGAAGCCTGGGGCTCGGCTGCAGTCCTGGGTGGGGGTCCGGGGCGAGGGGTCTGAGCTGCTGCGAGAAAAGGTCCAGAACAGCCGAGGGCAGGGGCTCTGCGGAGGGCGGGGCCGAGGGCGGGCTGTGCACAAGGGGGTAGAAAAGGAGGGTCTCCCAGAGCTTCGGTACTGACGCTGAATAGAAAGTGAGGTGTCGTTTATTTTTGAAGTTTCATGAGACAGTGGAGCTGTGTGGGGAGCCCGTGTGTGGTTTTTTGCTGCTTCCCTACTCCAGCTATCCCTGCCTTGCCGGGGCTCCTCGCCGCCACCGCCACCTGCTCTCTGCACCACCGGCCTCCGTCCCACTTCCCACACCTGCCAGGAGTGTGGAGGGGTGTGGCCCAGCTGGCCTCCCTGTGCGGGGCCAGCTCAGGCCTCCCGCCTCCCTCCCTCTTCTGTGGGCCCTGCCCTGGCTTGTTCTCTGTACCCTAGCACCGTGACTCCCCACCTGGCAACACAGCTGGGTGCTGGCCCGCCCTGGCCCCTCAGCTCCCTGGCAGGGGAGGGGTGGGGAGGGCTGGRTTCCAACAGGTTGGCCTCAGTTCCTTAGGCTGGGCCCAGGGCTCCTCCAAGAAGGGACAGAGATGGCCACTAGGTGCAAGTGCTCYGCCTCAGGGCCCACCAGTCCACCCTCCTGGGCGGGAGTGGCCCCCGCTGGCTAGGTTTCGTCTGCTCTGCTCTGCTCTGCCGCTGGGCACTCTCACATGGGGCGGAGGGCGAGGGGCACCCAGAGTTCTGGAGCCACATCAGCCCTTGCGTTGGAGTTGGACCCCAGGGCTGCTGGTCGGACAGCTAAGGACACGGACGGCACCGCAGGGCCTGCGGGGAGCAACGTAGGTGATGGGGCCATGCTGCAGCCCCAGGGATGACAAGCCACCGGCCCTCCCTGCACCCGCACCCAGCCCCTCCAGGGCACAGCGGCAGCAGATTGTGTCCTGCTGGCTGCTCTTCTGGCTCAGGCCACGCCTGGAGCAGGAACCCGGGAAGGCAGACTGGCTAGAGCCCCTGCTGGCAGCCATCAGGCCCTTCCCCTCCAACTCTCCCACTGCGCCCGCTGGGAAGTCCCCAYAGCGCCGCCAGCTGGGCAGGGCCGCTCTCCACGTGCCCTGCGGGCCGTGCTCCTCGGTGCGGTGTGCGACAGACGCGGACTTGGACTCGGTTGGATGCCTCTGGGTTGGTTGGTTTTTTTGTTGCTTGGATCTTAACATCTTTTTTTTGTTTTGTTTTTTGTTTTGTGATTTTTTTTGTTTTTTTGTTTTTGCCCTTCATGGTCCGAGAAGGAAACGGTGGAAGGTTTCACTACAACAGAAACAGAAAGGCGGCACTTGCAGTTTCTCAGGAGCAGCCAGGCTAGGGGTCCCAGCACCTGCCCCTGCCCCTGGCCGCCGGCCCCCACCCTCCTGCACGCTAGACCTCAGCAGACCTGTCTCCTGGGGCCAGTCAGGCTGCTGGTGGGTGTGCGGGTCAGGACAGGGCTGTGGGAGGGCAGAGCCTGGCTGGAAGGAGCTGCCTGGGAGCTGGGATGGGGAAAGCGGAGGCCAGGGCGTGAGAGGGAGGTGGCAGCACAGGCTGAGCAGGGGGCCTGGGTGAGAAGGCAGAGTGGGAGGAGGGGTGGGGCAGGTGCGCCCTACAGCCCTGCAGCCCTGCAGTCCAGAGGGAGGCGCCCTTCCACCTGGGGAGGTGCAGACACGTGCCCTGGGGCCAGCACCTGGAACAGCCCTTCCTGCCTGGGCGGCTCCCTAGGCTCCCTGCTGACCTCAGGCCCAGCCTGCGTCCCCAGGACTGCCCGCAGTGGGGCAAGGCGGGTCCCTGCAGGCCACGAAGCCGGCACACAGTCCACGTGAGGCWGGAGTGGCCATGGGAGACCTGGGGAAGGGCACCCTGTGCTCCTCGCCTGCCTCTGGTGGAGGACTTTCCCCTTCGGGATGGACCCTGGGGACAGTAGGATGGTGCTGCAGCTCAGGGACAAACACCCGGAGGCAGGCTGACAGGGCCCACTGCAGTGCTAAAGCGCCACCTATGGAGCAGGGGGGGATCTGCCCCATGTCAGACATGGGTCCCGGGGAGGCCCAGGGCTCAGCAGGGAAGGTGGCCCTGGGCCTGGGGTACTCTCTACATCTCCTTTCCTCACGGCAGCACCGAGGAGTCCCGGGGAGTGGTGTGGCGTCGGTAGCCTACACACAGAGCAATGTGCTTGTGACCATGTCATCATTAAAAATTTAATTAGAAACATCAGCCTCAACTGAGTGGGGACAGGGAGGGTGTAGCGGAGCCAGGTGGACCCTGGGGGAGGCCGGCTGTGCAGGGGGCTGGCTGTGGCAGCTGTGAGAGAGGCCTGACCCAGTGTTTCTGGAGCTGTGTGGAGCAGGCCGTCCTCTGGGTGCTACTGCTAGTGGTGGGGGCTGCCTGTGCTCCCAGCTGGCCCCCACCGTGTGCATACTGTACCTGCAGTGGCTTGGGCAGCACAACATCAACAAAGTCAAGATAGGAACCAAGGTTCAGACATACGGAAAACCAGGTCAAAGACACACACACCGTCATGGGCGGGGTGGGGAGCCCAGCTGGCTGGAGGTAAAATCTATGGGCTTTAGAGTCGCGGAGGGCCAGCGGCGCGGTCGCTGACCGGGAGGGGCGCACTGTCCTCCTGGTGGCTGTGCCTGGTGTTTGGGCTGTAGGGTTTGGTTTGGAATAGGCAGTAGTGTGAATGCTGTTAGGGGCGGGTCTCTTGCTAGTAGGGGGTGAAGCGGCTGTACCCTCCTCGGCAGAGGCTAGCCTGCAACATCAAAGATGGAGAACAGCCAATCAGTACCGTCCTTGGGTAAGGGGAGAAAAAGCAAAAAGAAAAAAAATAAGGAAAAACAAAAAGAGAAATTGCTAAATCCCGTTTGCTTTCCCCTTTTTAGTTGTCCTTGGGAAGAGTGGGTGTCATGTTGTCATGGCAACAGGGGGCAGGGGCCTGGTCCTTATGTGGGGGGGGGGGGGGGGGGGGGGGGGGGGGGGGGCACTCCTGACTCACAGGCTTCTGAACCACCCCCTTGTCCTCCGGCAGAGGGAGGTCCCAAGGAGAGCCCCACTTTCTCGGCTCCTGACGGGGTTTCCTGATGGCCCAGCTTCAGGGGGCCTCTCTGGGGACTGGCAAGGTCATGGTGTGGGGGCCTTGCTGGGCTGCGCTGTGTCCTGCCAGGGAGCTCTGGTCTCTGGGGCTCCTGCCTTTGCTCTCCTGGGCCTCCCCACCCCCACCAGTTTTGCCAGAAAAGGGAAGAAAATGGCAAATACCAGAGAAGAAAAACTGGGGGGGGGGATAGAAAAATCTCAGAAGTAAAAAGTGAAAATACAAGAGGAACCCTCTGAGAATCAAGGAACACTTTTAGCTAGCAGCTGTGTTGAGGGCCCCTGTGCCGGAAGCCCAGGGCTGCAACCACGGTCAGGGCCTCGTCCAGGGGCCATGGCAGCCTCTCCAGAGCCTGCCCTCCCTGGCTGCTCACAGCTGCTCCGATGTCCGAGGTTTGTTAAAATTAAAAAAAGGCAAAACAAAAACTGGGAGGGAGTGATCAAAACCAGGGAGGGGTGCCCAGCTCTCCTTCCCCTGGACGCCTCCCTCGACTCCCCAGGATGTTTTCATCTTTGATGCAGGTGGCCAGGCTGGCTACAGACACGTCAGCACCCTGCCGGGGCCGGGGCACAGGAGGTGGGTGTGCACTGGAAGCAGATTTGGGGCACAGAGGGAGCTGGACCACACGTGGACAGCTGGCCACACACACACACACACACACAGACACACTGGCCACACGCCTCTGGTAGCAGAGGTGTCCACCCTGCACTGCCCTCTCCACCCCTCAGGGATGAGGCCACTGGGAAGCGGATGCCATTTCCTCAGAAGCCCTGCAGCCCTGGAAAGTCCAGGAGGAGGGGCCTGGTGAGGGACAGTGGGTGGTCTGGTCCCTCCCCTATGAGCTGGAGGAGGGGCTGGGCTCAAACACCCCCCAGGGGAAGCCAGTCTGCCCCCCAGCAGCAAGCAGCCCCAGCTCTGGAACCTCTGGGAAGGGCAGGGGCTGTGGACAGGTGTCTGGCTTTCCTGGTGGTGGGAAACTCAGGGTCCTGACAGGACTCTGGTTATGGGCTCAGGAAAGCAGGTCCAGTGGGGTGCTTCCCTTCTGGTCAGACCTGCCTCCCTCCATGGGGACAGGGTGCAAGGGGCAAGCCCTCGCCCACCCCAACTCGAGTCCAGGCTGCGGTCCTTCCAAGGTCACAGGATGAGGCACTGGCTGGAGGTCTTGGCCTCTCTGAAGGGCCCTTCCCCACCCGCCTGGCCACACCGATGTGGCCTCCTTGCCATGACTGGTGCCAGGGGCCAGGTGGACCCAGACTTCTTACCATGGTTCCGATGCTGTAGGTCGCCGCAGGGCCGATGGTGTGATGGTAGGGGTCAGCAGCCGCGTAGACTCTGCCGTAACTAGGGGAAGGCACCGCGGGAGGGGGGGCGGGGGGGGGCAGGTGAGGGGCAGCAGGCCTCCCATAGCCTCCAAACCAGTTACCGAATGAACCTCCTTCTGTGGGTCCCAGCCACAGGCCCCCACCTCTCCACAAGGCCCTCAAGGTTCATCCCTCCTCCCTGTTTGGAAGGAAGTTTCTGGAACCCAACAGGACACCCTTTCAATACGCCCAGGGTACGCTGACCTGACAACAGGCAACGTGTCCCCTACGTAGCGCTACCTGGAGYGGGGAAAAGAGTCCTCACTAAGCTTGTCTGGAAGGAAAATAGACTTCACTCCCCCAAAGAAGAGGAACCAAGTGCTGGGAAAAGGTTCCAGAGGAGAGAGGGACCTGGGGCCACCAGTCACCGCCACCAAGGAGGTGGCAGTGTGTCCCCAGATGACCTTCCTTCACCCCATTTATCTGTAGTGACCTCTTAGCTTCTTTCAGGACAGGCTGGGCCACGGGGCCCTGCCTGCCATGATGCCAGGAGGGCCAGGCCGCCCCAGGTGAGCGTGGGTGTGTGGACCAGAGCCACAGCAGCCCTTGATGAAGTGCTCCTGCCCGGCCCCAACAGGAACTCTGTGTCCACCAGGCCCAGTGACCAAGGGAAGAGGCCCTGGGCACAGCCACTCCACGGGGGAAGTACTCGAGGCCCTGCCCCCTGAAACAAAGCCTGGCATCTAGAGCCTTCTCCCTGGGCCTGCTCACTGAGGGGTGGGGGGCTGGCTGCTCCCAGAGGGTGCACACTGCCTACCTGGTCTCATCCCATTCCGCGGGGGAGGGGCTGGGCACCTTCCCTTCTCTGAGCTAGAGGTTTCAGCCCTGGAAGTGCTAATGAAGACCAGAGCTGTCTCCAGGGGCCAATCTGAGGCTCCACATTATCTTCACTGGGGCCTGGAGAGCTGCAGGAGGTGTCAGACCTCAGGGATGGGAATCTGCTACTGAGGTGGTAACTGCTGCCTAAGAACTGGGGTTTCCACCATTTCCCCAGGGTACAAATAGGAAGCGACTCAAGTCAAGGGCTCACTGGCTCCAGGGTCTCTGAGCCACACTGGGACCTGCTCCCCTGCTCTCCTGCACCCATGAGGCACAAGTACCCCAGCCCCTGAGTGGCACCAAGGCTTCCTGTGTGTCTGGGCCCAGCCTTCCGGGACCCTGTACTGTCGTCTGCCCATGCCTCACCTGTCACTGTAGGCTGCTGCTGCTGCTGCTGGCTGAGCATATCTGTAGGCTGCGTAGCCTCCCTGCGGGGAGGAAGGAGGAAGAGATGGCAGAGGCACTTAGTGAGGCTCACCCAGGGAAAGGCCCAGCCAGGGCCTTTCCTGGGGCAGACACACACCCTGTGGGGCTGGGCCCTAGGGTGGGGCTATGGACCTCCTCAGTCCCCGGCCTTTCAAGTTCCACCTTGGCCTGGGGTAGCACAGGTGGTGCCTGGCCTGGGCACCTGGCTTCTGGTCTAATGGAGATCTGAGGACTGTCAAGTGGATGGTTCCAGATGAAGCAGGGCTATCTGTTCATGCCATTCATCCATCCATTCTCACACCTGGTAGTGCCTTCAGTACACTAGTGGGTACCTGCCTCTGGCCGTGTGCTGGCCTATGGCACACCTCAGGTGTCCATAGATCTGCCCACAGGCCACCTCCTGACTTGGGTGCAGACAAGAGAACCCTGGGGAGCTCTGGATGCTAACCTGGACACTAGGAATGGACAAGSGCAAAGGGTTCAAGAAGGCATTAATTCAGAGATGTCTTGGGCTCAGATGAGCAGGTAACACAATAATGGACGACTGCTCAGGGCAGGGGCAGGGCCAGATGAGAGGGCTCCAAGCCAGAGGAAGCAGTACGTGCAGCCCCAAGAAGGGAGAGAGAAGCCATAGGACCCCAGGGGATATAGGCTCAAGAAGACAGGCAACTTGTGGCCCTGCTTCCTRGCCTCTTTGGGGCCTCCACACTGGACTGGGGTGTTCCTGGGGGCTCACCCCCTGACCACAGTGTGCTTAGAAGTGGAAGAGCTGCTACTGCCCCATCACAGTCCTTGCCAAACAGACAAATTGCCTTTAGCTTATAGGGCTGCTGGGAGACCCAATACCACTCCCTCGATGCATACTGACAACCCAGACTGGGCCTGGCTGGACTCCCCAGGGGTGCCAGGTTGTGCAGATCAGTGCCCTGGCCCTCTCAAGGAGGCGAGGGGGCCAGGAGGAGTGGGGCCACTAGAGGGGACACACTGCTCACAGAGACAAACAGAACAGCCGACACCACCCTCCCCTTCCAGGGCTGCACTTACATAAATCTCAGCACCATAAAATCCATCCTGATACACGACCCTGGAAGCAAACGGACAAGAGAGTGGTGGGAACGCTGGAGAGGTGGGGTAGGCCGGCTCCGGTGTCTGCTGAGGAGGGAGGGGGCACGGTGCCAGCCCCGCCCACGGGACTGGCATTTTAACAAGCGTTTGCTCCAGTGCCCTGTTTGGTATAACAATAGAGTAACACCCTTGCTGGTCAGCTCCTTTCTCCCAAAAACCCAGGGGCCCATCGGCCCAGTCAGGCTTGCCCTCCCCCCCTCCCCCAGGCAGTCCTTCAGCGGGGAGGACACTGGACCACGGGGAAGGACCAGAGGGGGCTCGAAGAAGTGCCTCGCTGGACCCAAGGGCTCACAACTCCCCCCTTGAAAGCGTCCGGACCAGGTTCCGGCGCTAAGCGTCCCCTAAATGCCAGTGACCCTTGGCGGTATCCCCGTGGGGGAGGTGGGGTAGTGGGGATGCGGGCGGTGGCAGCGCTACCCTCTGGGGCTCCCGCCACCCCGCATCCCCAGTTCTGTAAAGGCTGCGGAGACCCCCACCCGCTGCACAGGCCGCCCCCGCCGTCCCCCGGCCTCCGGCTCCGGGTACTCACGCTCCGTAAGTCGGGATCGGGGGCGGAGGCGGCGCGGCCCGAAACGTGTTATACACGGCCCGGCCCCGGCCCCGTAGGTGCGCGCCCCGGTAGGCAACGGCCGTGCCCGTGGTGGGGTAGGGGAAGCCGGTCACTGCAGGAAAGGGGCGCGAGACAAGAGTGGCCGCGGGAAGGCGCACCTGCGCCCGGCTCCGCCCACCCGCGCCAGGCCTCCCGGCCCCGCCCCTTCCCCTTCTTTACCTGCATAGAATTCGGGTCCGTAGACTGCACCTACCACGGGGTTGAGCTTCCAGCCTAGAACAGAGACAGGGCCCAGTCAGTGTCTTCCCATGCCCGTCCCGCCTCACCTTAGGACAGAGTCGCGGGGACGTCCCAGGGCTGGCCGGGTCCCTCGCTCTGCCCGAGGGTGGGCGGAGGAGTCCCCACACCCCCCAGGGCCGCTCGGCCGACCCTGCACCCACAGGCCGTGGGGACAGGGCCACTTCCCTCCGGACGTTTTCCCCACATTGCACACCCGCGCCCAGGACACCAGCCCCAGCAGTTTCCGGTTCAAGGGAGAGTGGAGCGCAGCCTCGGCTGCAAGGAGGGATTCTGTCTTGGGGCTCTTTCCCCACCTCCTGTCCCCAAATCTCCCTTCTGCTCCGGAGCTCCCTTTCCCAGTGCCAAGTCTTGGGCTCTGCCCCTTATCCTCCTGTCCACAGCAGGACCCCTGAAGGAGGGAGAGGAAGGGCCACTGGCTGCAGACCAAGGGTGATAACGTCTGCAATCCCAGCCATGTCTGGTGCTCACGAGGTCCTTACCACCAACGAGGTGGATGGCGCGCCCTTCCCACTTGGTAGAAGATATGGAGGTTTARGGAAGTGCAGGAAGACTGGCCATGAAGGAGGTGTGAGGCCTCTCCCAGGATCCCCAGCTGGAATCTGCATGCCAGTCCTCCCCTTCCCAGGTGGGCCCGTCCTCTGACCAAGGCACAAAGGCCTGACTCCACCCGGAGCCTCTGGGAGTGGAGATCAGTTGGCTCTGAGTAGCACCAGCCAGGCACTGGAGAGGGCCAGGCCCAACCTCAGCGCTGTGAGGAGGGACAGGAGGGACCTAAACCTACCAGCCAGCTGGTGAGATACATCCTGGAGAGGGTAGCTCTTCTCCACATGGACTGCATGYGACAGCCCCTCACCCAGATTCTAACAGCAGGGCAGGTAGATGAGAGCCCTCCGGGGACCCCCTCCAGCCCCTCCAGGAGACTGAGCTGCCTGCCACGCCCAGTCCACCATCTCTCCACCTAGACTGGATGCCAGGGCTGGRACTCTGGAGTCTTCCAAAAACCAAAGTTTAGAAAGGGAGAGGGGCTGTTCTTAGTGAAACCCCCGTGATGGAGTGAGCCCTGAGGCTATCCCAGGCGCCCCCCTAGAGGAGGGAGACTCTGAGGCCCTGGGACCTTGACTCTGGCTTCCTGGGTGCCCCTGTCAGTTCTGGCTGTCCAGTACCTCCACCTCTCCCTGCTGGCCCCACTTTAGTCTGGAGCCCCACAGCTCACAGAGGCATCCTGAGACCCGCGGGGTGGCCCCTGTTTCTATTGTAAATAGGAACACCCGGTCAAGCTGGTGTGTTTGTCGTCTGCGGAGGGAACTTCTGCCCTCTCCTGAAGTTCAGCGTGTTCAGCGTGCTCAGAGTGATGAGCATGCTCAGACTGCTCTGGGCCAGCCTGCCGGGGTCTAGGCACCCCCCTGCAGCCTGTGATTCTTGCCCAGCTCTGTGAAGGCATTTCAGTGAGACTGCTCTTGCAGCCAGGTACACAAAGGTTCTGCCACTCTCCMTTTCCCAACATCTGGCCAGCACTGGTGACAGACCCTTAGGAACTGCACAATTGACATTCCTCACCGTCAGCATTCGGGTGCTGCCCAGAGAGCAGTGGCAGGCTCTTGAGTGAAGGGTGGGCAGTGTTCCAGTAGTGTCACGGTACCCTGCTGATCAGCCTAACCCTGTGGACATGTCTACGTTCTCTGCAGCCCATTGAGTCAATGGGGCTCCTTTCCTTGTGGGGGCCCAGTGTTTGCAATGGCTACAAACAGCAGCCTCCTTGGTCATATATGCAGCTGCTGCTTGGATGGCTGGCCTAAGGGACCTTGGAGGCAGAATTAGCACTGCATGCCCTTGACTCTGCCCTGTGCTCCCAGTTTGAGCTTCAGTCAGTTATTTGGGGTGCTTTTGGGAAGCCCTGAGGCAAGTGTCTAGCTCTGACATTGGCCCATGGCCATGTCCACCTGCACCAACTGCAGAACAAGGAGCATGTGATTGACACCCTATGCAGGGCCAAGTTCAAATCCTCTCAAGGTCTTTGATCTCCACATTGCAATGAAGTGGGGCTTTACCAGGTTTAAAGTGGATGAATTTGGAAATGTAGTGACTGAGAAGCAACTTGTCCCAGGTGGCTGTGGGGTCAGATGCACCCCTAGTCATGGGCCCCTACACAGATGTGGGTMCTTGCACTCACGAGGGCTTCTACTATGCTGCCCACTCATCAGGCCCACGAGTAAGTCCTACTTCCTGTCTATCCACTTTTACTTCTCCTGCCTAGCACCAGATCACAGAAGTCTCAGCCATAATGGACTGGGGACACTTGCAAAGCTGGGGTGCTGCCAGTTTTTAGAAAGAACTTGAAATTTGCGTCTTCAAAAAATCTGGGAGTTAGAACACAATATTCAACTCTAACTGGGCCTGGCCAGAGCCCCTCTCCTCCTCTAGGACCCGACACGGACACGTGCATCAGATTGGCCCGAGCCCCGGGGCAGGCTTCTGTGCTGGTTGGTCACCTGACTCCATGTGGGGCAGATCACACAGGAGTGGCTGGTGTGATGTGGTGCACCCTGTCCCTGTGCAGGGGTAGGTGGCTTGCAGAGAGACCTGTCCTGACTATGGGCAGCAGGATCTAGAAAAGGCCTTGGCATGTGGCTGCAGTGTTYGAAGCAGCCCCCTGGCCTTGTGGAACGAAGGCGTGCAGAGGCCACCAGCCATCCCTCCAAGGGTTTCCAGGGCCAGCTCTTAACATCGGCTGATGTTCAAAGGAAAGGTGCTTAAAGGAAACCCTGCACCCTGCTGCAGTCAGGTGCACACATGTGACCAGGCAGTTAACTCAGGGACCACGGGGTCAACCTGGTGCTCACAGAATCGTCAGCACTTCTAAAGCCCAAGTGGCACGCTCCTTCCATAGCGTCACACTTGATCCCGAGCATTTCTGCCTCTGGACCCTAGGCTGCACTTAGAGCATGATTTGCCCTTTAACAGCCCGGGGCAATGGATATCACTCTTCCTGCTTTGCAGATGAGGAGAGTGCAGCTCAGAGAGGTCTAAAAGCTTGTCCAGGATCACCCAGCATGCCTCGAGTTCTTCCTGAGCGTGGGCATACTGTGTCAGGGCAGCAGGTCTGACCAAGAACCCTTCCAACGTGAGCCCCTGGGTGAACGTCTGCCGGCACCCGGGAGGCCATGGCGATTCCACGGTGCCCAAAGACTATGCACATGGCCTCTGGGGTACCAGGGGCTCCGTTCTGATGCATGGGTGGAGGTGGTCACCCCAGAACTCTTGCCTCAGTTGATTACCCCTTCTAGCTGGACAGAAGCAGGAGAGCTGGGTCACCAGCAGTGGAGGACARCACCTAGGAGGGCTGGCCTGCAGCAGTCTTGGCTCCCTAGGGCCAAGAGTCCTAGGGCCTCTGCCTGGCCCCTGCAGCCTGCGRGGGCCCTGTGCCCCTTACCATTGGTGTAGGGATTCCCGGTCTTCTTGTTAGTCATGACTCGGGCTGTGGCATTATTGACCTGCCAGAGAGGGAGAGAGGAGGGAAGGGAGCGTTGGCCTCCGCGCAGGCCCTCTGTCCACCCCAGTCCTGCCCAGGCTGCTCCTGCCTCCCCATGGTTTCCGGGGAGGGGGCTGGGAGCTGGAGGGAGGCCCCAGGGCGCCCAGGCTGCCACCTGGCCTGGCCCAAGGCCCCTGGTCCAGACCTGCACCTCCTGATCTTGGTGGGCTGTTCTAGTAAGGAGCCCGGCCTCTCTGGCAGCCCAGGACTGCAGGAGAAGCTCGCCGCCAGCTCCCCAAGTGCCCCCGGAGCAGCCGCCCGTGGCCTCCAAGACCTTTTCTCCCTGGTAGCTGCTGAGGCCCTCCTAGGTACAGTGGCCACTCCCTGCCCCCAGAAGGATCACCCCTCCCCCGCAGGTCAGGGTCCTCAACWGGTCTGGGCACCCAGAGTTTCCCGCTGGGGTCTGTGTGCACGGGGCGGGTAAGGCGGGTGGGAGCTCTGGACAGGAGGGCACCCAGGGGCTTGTCAGACTGCCCAGGGGGACACAGTGAACAGGAGCCAGCGTGGAAGGGAGCAGGGGAAAGGGCAGGYGGTGCCCATGGAAGGATTCGGGCCACACGGCCTGCTCCCACATCCTTGGTGTGAGCCCACAGGGCCTGGGTGTGTCCCCTRGAGCCCATGGGCACTGCTGGTTCAGAGCCCAGGGAACACCTTTGGCTTCTGAAACCTCAATCCCCTTGCCCACGGGCTCCTCCTTAGCTGCCTCTGGCCTCCAGCCTCTCCTGGAGGCCCTGCCTGTCTGGAACCCAGCTGGGGACCACCAGAGCCACTGAGGCAGGGGAAGTGGGCAGCAAGGGGTGGGGTGGGGAGTGCCCTTCGGGTCACTTGCTGCTGCCTCTGCCTGTATCCAGCAAGAGCTGGGAGTGAAGGCCGAGGGACCCAGGGGCACAGTACAGGGCCTATGTGGGGGTGGGCAGGGGCAGCTCTGCTCCCTGCTGAGAAGGGCCTGGAGTCAGCTCCTGGGTGGAGTCGGCCGCCTGCCAATGGGGACAGACAGGCAGCCACTCTGCTTCAAGTTGCTAAGCCTCAAACAAAGTTTCTGGGGCTTCCTGRAGTCTGGCTGGGGACAGGGCTCTCCTGGGAAGTGGAAGGAGGGGGAGGGGAGGGACCTTGGGGAGCCTGAAGCCCAGGCAGTGGGCTCAGCCAGAGGCCAGCCATGGGGCTCTGGCCTCAGTGTGGCCCTTGCTCCTGCCGCAGAGGACCCTGGCGGGGTTCTGCTGGGCGGCCAGCGGCRGGCTGGCGGGGCCCCAGAGCGACCTCCCTGGCGCAGCACACTTATCTGAGCACCTCAATTTTTCGTCCCTCTACGATCGTCCCATTCAGCTTCTCCCGGGCTCGGTCAGCATCTGAGCTAGTTTCAAAAGTTACAAACCCAAAACCCTGTGAGCAGAGGAGGACAGACACGGAGAGAAGACAGGATGAGAAAAGGGGGAAGAGAGGAGTGGGGAGGGGGCACGGGGGAGGGCGAGGGGGAGGGGGAGAGAGGGCTGAGTCAGGAGAGTCGGAGAGCCTCGGGCAGCCCAGAGGTCTGTCCTGGTGCCACCGCGGGATGCACGGGGCGGTGGGCCCTGAGCGGGGGCAGCTGCTGCCCGGCCTGAGCCCGACTGGAGCTGATGGCCTGCCCCTCCAAGGGGAGAGGCCAGAGCTACAAGAGATGCTGACCTGGCCAGGGGCCAGGYCTGCACCCCAACCCCTCCTCAGGCGGGGGCCAGGGCTGGGCTTCAGGACACACGGGGAAGCAGCCCCACCCACCCCTGCCCTAGGAGCCTGGGGTGGGGGTCTCGCCTTCTGGAGGGGCGACAGGGCTTGTCTTTGCCGGGCACCCTCCCGGSCGGCCCACCCTGCAGCCCCTTCCCCCAGCCTCCAGGCCATCTCCCAGGGCAGGTCTGCGGCCYTGGGGGTGAGTGGGGGGTGGGGGGACCCAGGCCCGGGGTGGGGCGCTGGGGTGCAGGCGAGGGTCCTGGCAGCTCAGAGAGAAAAAGCAGCGGCAGCAACAACACAGACAGCTGGGGGCGGGTGGGAGCGCGGGGAGACAAGCACCCGTGTCGCCCGGGGTCCTCGGGCGCGAAGCTCTCCAGAAGGAAACGCACATTTCACAGTTAGCCTGGCAGGACCTACAGCTGGCGCGGTAATGGTGGCGGCCTCTGCGTGGCACCCACCTTGGAGCCCCGCTCATTAAAAATGATCTCCACGTCTAGAATTTTCCCGAATTGCTGCAGAGATAGAAGCAGAGGGGAGGGCAGGGACAGGAGAGAGGGTTAGGACAGGACCCGTCCACTCCRCTCCAGAGACGCCCCCAGGCTGCGAAACCAGAGCCTCAGGGCCCCTCCCCCTCCACGGTCAGGCTGGCAGGGACGCCCACCCTCTCCCGGAGGCCTGGGTCTTCCTCTTGAGAGGCAGTGCAGGATACTGGCCCGCTGCAGGCTGGACTGGGGAGGGGGGGTGCTGTATCACCAGGGCCCTCTGGGACATGGCCATGTGGGGAGGGACGCCCAAGGCATCACGGCAGTCCCTCACTGGTAATAAAGGTCACTGGGGCCCCTCTCCACAGGTGGGATGGGGAGGGGGTGARGTGACAGCATCAGGACCCTGGGTGGGAAAGGGACCCCCAGGCTTCCCTGAGATGGGGAGGAGGAGAGGAGGGGTGGTGGGAGGAGGGGGAGGCTGAGGAGGGGAAGAGGAGGGGAGAGGAGGGCAGAGGGACCAGGGAGGGGGTCCAGGGCCTCACGCTGGGGCCTTGCAGGACCCTGCACTGCCTGCGCTGGGTGGGCCAGGCTACGTCAGGAGCACAGCAGCGGGGACCAGAGCCCAGGCCCCTGTGTAGGACACACTGCAGTCAGCCAGGACACTCTGGCTGCCCCTTCCTACACCATCACCAGCTGAAGTCCCTGTGGGCGCCTGTCTCACTGGTATGTGAGGCCATGGCCTGTGAGCCAGGTCCCTGAACACCCACCAGGTCCTCGGGGGCTCAACCTGTCACCCATGCCGGCAACTGACAGGGTCCCCTTCCCCTTGAGCAGCCCCAGGGGCCGGACAAGAGCCTTGGAGGCCCAGCGAGCCATCTCTCAGGCCCCCATCTCTCAGGTTCTGAAAAGTGCAGGACATTGTCTCTGCACTAAAGGGACCCAGCAAGMAGACGCCGCCGAGGGCCTGGGCTGGGGAGAGCTCAGCACTATCAGTGGCCGTACCCAGGCCCAGGCTCGGAGAAGAGCCCGAGGCCCCGAGGTCGGGAGGATGCAGGGTGCTCACACCCCCAATTCTGAATCATTTTAGCCCTCAGCAAGTCTGGGTCCAAGTCAAGGAGGCAGGGAGTGGACTTCCATGGTCACCTTGGGCTGGGGACTGGGGTTTGACCATCTCTGGGCAGCTGKGAGGCACCTCCTGTTTGCCTAACAGGCTCAGAGAGAGGGTGCACCCTGTCCCCAGGCACCCAGAGGAGGTCTTGCTTGGGGCTGCTGCTCTGTGTGAGGCCAGAGGCCGGGCTGGCCTGCAGGTGCCAGGTGCTAGGGGACAGGAGTTAGATGGCAGAGTATGACCAAACCACGGGGCTCCACAAGTCCCTGAAGACAGGTGGTATGGGTGGAAGGCGGACTTCTGGTGAGGAGTGGGGACAGTGGGGGACAGGGGTRGTCACAAAAGACCCTCTTCCTGCCCTGCCCCACAGGTCCAGCCAGCTGGACCTCGGCAGGAAGGACTCTTGGAACCTCTCCACCCGCACCGGGAAGCTGCTTTGGCACCCGGGCTGAGTGCAGGCTGGCAGGGACAGATGGGCCCTGGCACACTCACCCCGAACATTTGCCGCAGGTCGGGGTCCCTGAACCGGAAGGGGATGTTGGAGACGTGTAGCCGCTTGGGCTGCTGCTTCTCTGTGGGGTCGGAGGGGTGGAGTGGCTGGCTGTCCGTCTGTGCCGCCTCATCTGCCTGCTGCGGGGAGAGGACCTGGCTGTGGAGAGGCCTGCTCACCCTGTCTGCAGCAGGCTGCCCCGTGCCTGGGCCCAGACCGAGGATCTGGGCCGAGTTCCCACACTTCGGCATCTCCACGTCCGAAAACCCACCTCTGAGACTTTGCCCAGAGGCACAGGCCAGCTCCCTCCTGCCATCCCAGTGCCAGGCCTCCTTGGCCGTCTGCTGTGAGCTCATCTGCTCAGGCCTGACCACAGAGGTGAAACCTCGATGGCCACTCAGTCCCAGTGAGCACTGTTGCTCTCAAGGATGTTTTGGGGGTGTAGAGACCCTTCTGTTGTCTCGGCCAGATAGACTTCAGAACCAGGCCTCTGGGCACAGGTATCTGTAAATGCCTCTCATGGCGAGCTCCTGCAGAGGTTCCTTCTTATTCTAGCCCTGCTACTGCCACTCAGGACCCTGGGGGCCCTCTAGGAACCCATCTGAAAGCCTGACAGCAAAGTCTGTCCCAGACAGTTGGTCCTCATGTAGGTCCAAATGCTGGCCAGCACAGGGGCTCTGAAGGGACTGAGTTTCAGAAAACAAGCTGCCCATGCGCCAGCCCTCCCCTCACAGTTCCCAGTTAGAAGCCCAGGCATCCTGAGGCAGCATGAAAGAAGCCTTGCCTGCATCTGGTGGACAGGCCACGAGCTCACCACGAGGCTGGCCTCCAACCTGGCTCAGTGCAGATGCACCCAYAAAAGCCAGGGCAGATAGTGAGCTCCGGTCCTGGACACCAGGCCTGAGGCCTCACCTGCCAGTCACACTCACACCCCAGGCCACAGAGAGCCAGCCAGCCTTGCACCTTGCTCTGCTCAGGTGGTGGGCAGCACTGCAGCGGAGTGTCCACAGTGGTGGGCAATGTCAGGCGTGGGCACCCAGCCATGGGGACAGCAGGCTGAGGAGCTGCCTTCGTCGGCTCAGTTCCCTTCCTGCCTCAACTCCCTACTGGTCATTGCGATTTTGAGGGACCCCCTCCAGACACATGGCTTGCACTTGGATCTCTGACTTGCTTCTGGGACAGGTACCAGCTGATGGCACTGGGGTGGGGGTRTCTGGCTCCAGCCACCCTGGGCCTCTGTGGGCACAGACAGAGGGTGCCAGGAGGCCTGTGCTGCAGTTGGAACAAGTGGAGGTGCTGGTGGCCATGGTCTCCCGGGTGGCCCTAGGAGCAGAGGCAGCCAGCCTGGCAGAGCAGGGGAAAAGCTGGCCAGAGACACCCAGAGAGGGTCCCCAGGAAGCGCCTGGTTTGCTCAGGGCTGTCGCCTGGAGTGGACGGTGAGTGGGGCTGAGGCCTTACGCGCAGTCAGGGAAAGGGAGCCCAGGAGGTAGGGCCCCCTCAGGCCACAGGGCAGCTAAGGGGCAATGGACTCSGGTGGCTGTCTGGCTTTCTCTGTCCCCTTTCTGGTAGGTTGGGCCACTCGCTCACACTCCTGAGCTCAACAGGAGGCCTCTGACCAGGCTTCAGGGCAGCTGGAGGCCTTAGGTGACCGGAAGTCTGCACCTCCTCAGCTGCAGAGGGCCCTGGTGGTGGGCCCTGGAGCCCAGCAGGAGGTGGGAGCCTGCAGGGTAGGGACACACTGTCCCCTGCACACCATGCCTTCCTGCGCTGGCAGATGAGCACACGGCACACACAGGTCAGGGCGGCTGCAGCCAGGCGCCCTCAGCCCAGTGCCATCAGCTTATACCCTGGTCTCCTGTCACCTGGACTGCTGCCTCTGAGGGGCTGAGTGGCCAGGTTCTTGGAGTGGGCAGGGCCTTGGGCTTTGGCAAGTTGGGCCAAAGTTCAACCCAGGAGCTCATCCGTGGGGGCTGCACGTGGGGTGGACAGCTTCGTGGTAGGAAGAGTTGGTGGGGGGGGGGGGGACAAGCCTCTGGAGACTGCCAGCCCGGCCTGCGTGACAGCCCCACTCTGTGGGGCAATGCAGGGCAGCAGACTTGGGCTCTGAGGGCACACGGGCTCCTCCTGAAGGCCTGGAAGGCCCACACCCAGCTTCCGGTGCTGCTGCCCCCGCCGTCGCGGGCCTTGCCCAGGAAGCAGCACTGCCCAAGCATGCCAGGGCCTGGCATAGGTCTAGTCTCACTGTGTGGCCACGGCAGGTGCTGTACAGGGGCCTGTCATGGAGAGCGCCCCTCCCCGTGCACTCCATGCACCCGTGTCTTCCACAGCAGCTCTTGGTACCYGTGTCCTGGATTTGGGCATCCAGCCTGGATAGGGACATGCAGTGCTGGCTTTGGACCACCAGAGGGCATGGGTCAGCGCAGCCATGTGCTACCAGGAGGATGGAGGAAGCCCTCCCCAGAGAAGGCCAGCGGGGAGGGGGCCTGGGGCTGGTGCTGATGAAGTTGGGGTGACTGGACCACCCCACCTCAAAGGCTCTAAAGGGGCACAGGTCAGGAGAAAAGGGGTGAGGGGCAGGCACATGGTGTGAGCCGCGAGGGGTCAGGGCTCAGGAAGAGCCCCCCGCCTGCCCCGCCCTTAGCTAAGCCGTGGACAGGCAGATGGATGGGCGCAGGGGCTGTAACCTGTAAGGGGTGCTGAGAAGCCCGGGCCTCACTGCACGCCGCCCCTGCCCCTGCGCAGGATGGAGGCCTGCCCACCGTCCATCACAGCGGCTCAGGCGCCTCCTCCCCGCGGCTTTCTGAGGCTCCACCACTTGTTTTTAAAGCAATATGTGMTTCCATTCTCCAACGTAGGGAGACCGGAGACTACAGCAGTGTCCCCTGCCCCCGGGAGTGTGGTGGCTTTGCTTCAGCGTCGCCTCATTACTGGGTCCCGTCCCAGCAATTACGGAGCCTCCCCCTCCGGCCTCCACCCACTGGAGGCCAGGAGTCAGCTCCTGTCGGCTGGGGCGGGGTCTGGGCGCCGTGCAGTGCGTCTCCCACACTCCGAGGAGCCTGCACCCCCTTGGCCTGGGCCTCACTGAGCTCAGCAGAGAGAGGCAGACAGAGGAAGAAGGCCCTGGGCAGGACCCTGCAGGACCCCACAGGACTCCGGCCCTACATGGGGACAGAGCCAAGCTCTGCTGATGTGGCACAGGATGAACCTGTGGAGAGTTTCCTCAGCAGCCCCATCTCTGTCACCCTGTTCCCCCAGGGACCTCCTGGGCCCTTGTCAACAACCCTGCCATCAGCTCGGCTCCGGTGGACGGCCTGGCTCTCCCTGTGGGCCCCAGTCGCTGAGGAGGAGGGGCCTCTGCACGTGGCCTCCAGCCGCCAGCCAGGAGCGCCTTCTTCAGCCCGGGGAGCTGGGCCGCCCCTCCTCTGGCAGCGCCCGGGGCTCCTGCTTGGCCTTTGAACGACCACCTCTTCCCAGCGCCGCTGCTGGCYTCTGCACTTGTGGCATCGGGTTGGTGGCCGCATCGCCCACCCCCACCCGCTCCAGCCTGGAGAGTGGCTTCGTGGCTGAGCGACYGTGGGGCGGTGTGGGGCCGACTCCTCTTCCCTCCGGCCATTCTCAACCACCCTCCTGCCAACGTCCACCCCTGCCCTGGGAGTGGAGAAGGCAGGGACCCGAGGCTGCAGCTCCTGGAGGAGCGGCCCATCGTCCACCTTCCTCCACCTTCCTCCACCTGCCTCCACCCGGCCTCTGGTGCAGGCGCACTCTTCMGGCATGTTCTATCTGCACATCAGTTTCTCTGACATGCTAAGGTGCCCTTAAGCACAAAGAYGGGGGACCCCTCTAGGTCCCCCTGCGCTGCCACACTCACATGACCTTGAGTGAATGAAGGAGTGAATCCTGGGGGCATCTGCCATCTTAGGGTGCTGCGGAGTAGTAATGTAAGGTCCCCAGGTCCCCCTGCAGCACCCCTCTGCACCCCGGGCTGCCCTCTGTCCACAGAGTGCCGCGGTGTCCTGGTGACAACAGTGTGAGATGCAGACCCAGGTGCAGGAGCTCCGGGTGCAGGACTTCCAGACAGACGGCCTTCTCCATAGGAAGAAGAGGGGCTCTGCCAGAGCGGAGGTCCCTTGGCGGAGGTCCCCTTGCAGACAAGAGGAGCTGTCACAGGGAAGGACCTGTTGGGCCCACTGAGACTTGGGAAATCAGCACAAGCTCTGCCCCGGGGACCCTTGGAGCCAAGGCTGCTGGCCATCACAACGGGTCATCGATGGGGTTCCTGGCCTCTGCCCCCTCCATGGGATTAGACTGGGGTCTTCCTGCCTCTCTCCTGGGTGGTGGAGGTGTCCGGAGGGCCTTGAGTTGGCTGGAACATGGACCCCCCAATTCCCAGCAGGAAGCCTTCTGAGAGAGGAGGAGGAGGAGCCTGGTGGGGCCAGAAACCCTGGGAAAGCCTTCCCTGAGCCTCAGCCCTGTGGCACCCTGGGTGCTGGCGTGGGGAGCGGCAGGAGAGGAACTGCACCCTGAGAGAGCCCTGTACCCACACGCCCATGGGTCCCGGGCCACAACAGGCCTCCTGCGTCACCCTGGGTCTGGGCAGGTCYGGACTTCCAGAGGCCACTTTTCAGGGGCTCTGGGTGGCTGACTGCCGGGTACCTGGAAGCCCTTCAGAATGCGCCTCCCTCCTGGCCCTGGACAGCCCAAGGCCAGGTGCTCTCTCTCACCAGCAGAAGGACATCCCTCCAGGGCAGGGCAGGGAGGCCCTGGTGCCTTTGCCACATCTGGGCTCGTGGCAGGGCCAGGGCTGAGTGTCCTGACCTGGCACCGAGAGCAGGCACCTAAGAGGGGACCCGGGGAGCACTGAGTGGAGGGAAAGAAGAGACCAGGGCTCAGGGTGGCCCCATCCCAGGAGCTCAAGGGAAGCGGGACCTGGGGGGAGAAATGAGGTTCAGGCCAAGGTTTGGCACCCGCCCCTGCGGCCAGCCCTGTCGCCCTGCACCCTAAAACCAGGCTTGGGGAAGCCAAGAGGAGGCTCAGATGAGTGAAAGAGTGTCCCCACATCTGTAAGGACAGGATGCAGGCAGATGCCAGCACCAGGCAGCTTCCCTGGGAGGGAGCCGGCTCCTYGAACCCTGGGCCAGCAGAGACGGCATCTGCCACCGCTCAGGCTCCCTCCCAAGGTGGCAGGCTTCTCCTGCGTGAGTGCTCCAAGGTCCAGGGCTCAGGCCCCCAGAGGCTCCCTGTCTTCGTGGGGTATCCCTGATGTCTCCAAGAAGTCCTTCCTAGGGTGGTCCAGTCCCTCCCACCTGCGGCCTGCATTTGGCCCCAGGTCACAGCATAACTCTCTCCTTTGCATCCCAGCATGAAAGACCCGTGCACCTCCACCCTGACCCCTCTGTAGGACCCGAAGGGACCCAGCCCCAGGGAGGAAGGCCAAGGCTGCCCGCTCATCTGGGCTCCTGTCCTCTCTGGCCCAGGTGTGCTCCTCAGGAGGCACCCCAACCCCTGAGCAGCGAGGCTGGCCTTTYTGGGCGGGACTTCCACTCTGGATGTAGTAGGGTCCTTGTGGGCCATCGTGGCTGGCGCTGGGGKCCTCCCATGCAGCCAGGCCCCTTTCTGATGTTTTTGTCCTTGACTGGTGGTGGCCAGAGGACAGGGCTGGTCATTTTTTCTCTGTACCCCAGAGTTAATTCAGAGACTGGCATACAGTGGCGCTCAGCCAATGTCTGGGTGAATGAGCAGTGACAGGGGCCTTTCCGTAGGTCCTGGTGGTGGTGTCTGTGGTGGCCCCGAGGCTGCAGGGCTCCTGACCGTTCTCAGCTGTGAGCCTTCAGTCCCCACTTGGTGTCACCTGGAACCCCGCCTGTCTCAGCCCCTGCCTTCTTCCAGGCGAAGCTGAGGCTCAGCACGAGCGGCTCCCGTTTGTTCATAGGGAGGAGTGGCGATTCAGCCAGGTGGGCCTTGTCTGCGGGTCCATCGGAAGAAAGCTGGGCCAGCTGGCCATGACCTGCTCGTGGTGGGCCTCTCTGGCTCGGGGGCCACCTCTCTGAGCACACGGAGGTGGTGGGTTGGATGGACCAGGCCAGGGTGTCCCAGGAGGTATGGTCTGGCTCCCAGTTCTAGGAGCCCAGGGGTCTGGCCTTCTCTGTCTGTGGCTGACRGCTGGAGGAACTCTGGGGAGGATCTGGCACCCGCCGGCCAGGGGGGCACAGAAAGGCCTGACAGCCCAGGGGGCAGCTGCGTGGGCTCTCTCCACAGAGAGCTTGGGTGACACTGGAGGCCATCTCGGGCAGGAGAGGGTGACACTGGATGTGCACAGCATCCTGGGAGCCAGCCCAGGAGGGGGAAGGGCCGGGGAGTGCAGCTGGGGGCCCTCGGAGGCGCCAGGGCGGTGCCGCCCTGCTCTGGCCAGGCCCTGCCAGCTCACAGGGCCAGCTGCTGGGAGGGAGCCAGCAGGGGCCGTYGGGTGAACCCACAGCCCTGAGCAGAATGCTGTCCAGAGGCCAGCGAAGGATGGAGCAGGCGGGGCCTGGGGGGCCTGGCCTCCGGGAGGGGCTGCCTGGACAGGGAGCCCACGGGGTGGGACTGCTCCTCACCAGCTCCTGCTCCATCAGGAAATCTGAGAAGTGCYGGGATCAGCACTTTTGCTCCAGCTGCATTACAACCACATAATTGAAGCTATCTGATTGGCGGGCGGCCAAGCAGGTAGATTACAAGTGATTAGAAATGATAGGAGGGGCCTGCGCGCCAGACAGCCCCGCCGCCTCCCCTCACCCACGCTGGTGTGCCCCTGAGACCCCGCGGCCAGGCCTCTGGCCCCCGCCGTCTCCCTCGCTTTCCATGAACAGGTCTCTGGTAGCAGAGGAGGGGCTTCCCACCTCCCAGGTGAGCTGAGAGGTTCGTGGAAGCCAGAGACAGCTGGAGGTGGGCAGGGGGCCACTGTCCCTCCATGCTCACCACCTGTCTCCTGGTGCCAGCTGATGACTGTGAAGTCCAGGCTGGGATGAGGACCCCTGGACCAGGGCCTGGACAAGCGTCCCCTCCTAGACCCCCCACCGTTTGCCTCAGGCCCTCCTGAGCCACCCTCACCCCTCCTGCTACTCCTGGGCGGGGCCCCGGGGTGGCGAAGGACACTTACCGGCACTGTCTGGGTCCCAGCGATGGGCTGTGTGCTGGCCTCTGTGCCCGGCTGCTCTGGGTGGGTCTGTGCTGGTGTGTACAGGGTCATGCCATGCTCTGGGGGCACCGGGGTCTGGCCCGAGTAGTCCTGCGTGGGGTGCGGTGGGGGTGGGGCGTACTCAGCGGGGATACCATTCTGCGGCGGAGGAGGGTACTGGGCAGGGGGGTAGGGCTGGGCCATCGCTTCAGGCGGAGCCGTGGCGTCCTGATTACCCTGCAGAAGGAGAGAGAAGGCCTGCTCAGTCTTATCCTGTCCCAGAGCCCTCGGGGATGGGGATGGTGACTTTCAGCTGAGCAGAGATTTTCCGGAAGCCCTGGTGGTAGCCACATAGTACTTTCAGATGCATTTTCCTGGTCCCCCAGCAGGGGCCCAGCTGAGAGCAGGAGGTGGTGCTGGACTGGGGGGCACCGGGAGTCCAGGTGCAGGACGAGACACCCCTGAGCACGGGCAGCTTGGAGTCCTCAGAACGCACTTCARGTGCTTTCCCCCCTTTACAACCCTCCTAATTTAAAAAGACCATTTTAGGTTGAGATGACCACAGACTCACATGCAGTGGTAAGGATCAGAGTGACGCGGTGTGCTCTTGACCCCATGTCCCCAGTAGCAATGGCCTGCGAGACCAACACCACTAAGATACCATTGATTTGGTCAAGATGTGCAATGTCCCCGCAGCACGAGGACCCTTCCTGTCCTCTGGCTGGCGCATGTGCCTGGCCTCCMTGCAGGGCTGAGCCCTGCTTTCCCAGCCTCAGAGCTTCCCGTCCAGCCTGGATCCCTGGAGGCAGAGCCAGCCCAAGTCCCAGAGGTGGCCATCAMGCGGGAGCCTCACCAACCAGAACCTTCTGCCTCCATCTCCAGGTCCTCAGGGAGGCCCCGAAGACCCCTCCCTGCCCTTGCAAAGGCCTGCTGCCCGGGGAGGGGACGTGCGCTCCCTGAATGCCAGCCCTAGCCCCTCGTGGGGGCTTCTAGTAGCCCTAGGCCAGCACCGGCAGAGGGGGAGGACAGGCCCTCAGAGTGGCGGGCCGGGCCTGCGGCGCAGCAGTTCCCCCAGGAGCAGATCCTTGGCCCCACCCAGGCTCCTGCTTGTGAGGACCCCTGAATGAGGCCTATAGGAAGCCTGGCGGAGCCCGCCCCAGAGAAGGGCTTGGGCCTTCAAGCGCTCAGAGTGAGGGGCAGTGGAGCGGGAGAGGGGCCTCTGCTTTGCTTCCTCCCCACTGCAGACTCGCCCTGAGCAGAGACGCCCGGGCCCGGGGCGTGCGCGGTGGGAGGTCCATCTCCTGCTGGACCAGCCCAACGGGAAGGGCTGCACGTGGCCGAGGGCAGTTTGACTGGCCCAGCTCCCGAGTGCGAGTCCCTGCTGCGCTGGCTTTGCTGGAGGGGAGGGCTGTGCAGTGGGGCAGCTGCCACCCGCACCTCGCACCCGCTGCTCCCCTGCGGAGGTCAGTGTGCACCCACTGGGTGCCGGCAGGGCTGGGCTCCCCGTGGTCCCTGGGCCTGGCTCCTCACCATCCTCTCACCCACCTCCCTCCGCCACAGCCTCAAGGTGGCAGGCCAAGTGCCTTCGCCTGCCAAGGGGGACCCCTCATGTGCCCCGTGCCCCCCCCAGGCCCACCCTACGTGCTTTAATGTCTCGTCTGTCTTCACCTCAGGATGGGGGTCCTGCAGAGAGTGGCCGGGCCTTGTTCTCCGTCAYGTCCCTCGCTAGGTGACCACTCGTCCCCCCACGCTGATTCTCCAGCATCGGGGGTGTCAGAGCTGAACCGGGCTCAGCTCGTCCAGCAGGAAGGGAACTCACACCACAGCTGCCCTGATGCCACATTAGCTGTGACACTACCGAGCACCCCGAGGAGCCTGGCTGCCCCTGGGGCCCTGGTGGACAAGGCCAGGGCCCGTGGCTGGGCCCTGCTCCCCAGTGCTGGCCCACCCACGTCTGCCTGGTCACCAGCTGGGAGGGGGCAGGGTGGACAGTCGGCCCTGCCCTGCTCCCCACAGTGCCCACTGTCACCTCTGCTGGGCTTTGCACCCTAGGACACACCAAKCGAGGGCTTCAGCCAGAAATCCTCTCCCCTTCTTTCTCCATAGCAAAGCCACCTGGGCCCTCCCTCCCTGCACAGACACTRGGAACTGGGGCAGCACCGGCCCTCTCAGGGAAGGACAGCCGGACACAGGCACGCACTCACTCAACACYGCGCCTGGAGGGTCCTGCCTACTGCTACAAAGCGGCTGGGAGGCCAYGCCACCCACTGCTGGCTGGCACATGGGCATCCAGCCTGGGAAGTGGGGACCTAGGACAGGGAGGTGGGGGCAAGGGAGTGTCCAGCGCAGTGGGAGAGGACCCAGCACTTGGGATGGCCCAGGGGGAGGGGCAAGGCCAAAGGGTGGACAGGAAGCAGGGAGCGTGGAGGGCGCAGGGCTGGGAGGGCGCGGGCCTGCCAGTGGGCCTTGGCAGACACTGGGGAGATYGATTCACTGATGAATATTTGATTAGCGCCTTCACTAACTTACACCATCTCCCCCGCTCCCCCCCCTCCAAGGCCAGAGGAAGGATGGGCGCCCCACCCATCCCTCTCTCCCCCCCAGGGCCCCTCCCTGGGTTGCATTGGGGACTGTGTGATAGCTGCCAATCAAGCCTACTGTGGTGTCCCTGCAGGGCTGAGCCCAGAGCTGAAGAGCACAGTCCTGGGGACCTGCCAGGACAGAGGCACCAGGCAGTGTGCTGTGCAGCAGGAACGTGACAAACACGTCCCCGTGGATGAACGGCTGCACGTGAAGAAAGAGGGCCGCTTCTGTGGACACGGTCACCGACTGAGCTCTAMACGCCATCTCACTGAGTCCCCACACCACACCAGTAAGGCAGGCTGGGTGTCACTCTGCTCTGCAGGCAGGAACAGGAGGCTCAGGACCGAGTCCCCCTGCTCCTGCCCTGTGGCCGGGGAGGTCGGCCAACACCCTGGGGTGGGGGATTCAGACTGAGCAGGTCTCTCTGGAACCCCGCTGCGCTGGCCTGCCCTGTGCTGCCCTCTGCCTCCTGGTCTCATGTTTGTCCAYCCCATTCCCCACGTGGGAGGGATCGCGATCACCATTTTTTTGTCGTTGTAGATGGACAGAATTCCTTTTTTATTTGTTGATTTTCGTGTGGTGCTGAGGATTGAATGCAGTGCCTCACTCACGCTAGGCAAGCGCTCTGCCACTGAGTCCCAGTTCTACTGAGGCGCTACAGTGCCCGGCCAGGCTCACAGAGCAGGTGAGCCCAGAGCCCTGAGGCCCACAGGACTGACCCCCTGCATGCACTTTCTGCCTGTGTCCCCAGGGGGCTGGAGAGGAAGGGGATGGGTCGGTGAGGGCACGTGCCAGCTTCTCCTGCCGCTCCAGGTCAGTGACCCCACAGCAGTCAGTGAAGGTGGCACTCAGGCCTGGATCAGTCCCAGGAGAGGGTCACATTYGCTAGCACCTGCTGCCTGGTCCTTCAGAGCACACCCCCGCTGTCCCCTGGGCTGACCCAGGCCTGTTGGGGCAGACGAGGGGCACTGACCACGGTGGTCTGCCACRAGCTCAATTTGGAAACTGAGTGTGGTTCCGGCGGTATTCACAGAGACCTTGAGTGTGCAGGAAGGGGACCGGGGCAGTCTGTGTCCAGGAGCAGGCTCTGGTCTGGTGGGGCTGCTCCTGGGTGGCAGCATGGTGGCTGGCAGGCAGCGAGCTCCCGGGAGGGTGGTGTTCGTCCTGGCAGGGGGACCCGGGCCATGAACAGAGATCTGGAACCAGCTCAGGTGTGGCRCAAGGAAGTCGGTGAGGGAGGCGTCTGTGCCGGCCCTGAGGCTGGGCCCGGTGCTCCAGGAGACTGCCTGCGTCTGGCAGCTGCCCAGCAGGCTTCTGTCCACCTCTCACCCTGCCCCTGTTCTGAGAGGCTGAGACTGGACTCCATGCTCTCYGGCTTCCTGGGGCTGGAGGGAAGCATGATCTGGGGTGCGAGGCTGTCTCAGGCTAGCTCCATCCTGGACCCAGGGGGGCCTGGCCTCCTGTAATGAGGCCCTACTCTGACTCCCCTCCATCACTGGTTCTGGGCACATCTTCATTGCCACCAGCTCTAGGCTCCTGGGCTGTCCCTGGTGATCCCTCCACCTGCCCTCTGGAYACTTCTGTAAATAGTCTTGAAGCAAACTTGCCTCAAATCATTCTAGACCAGCCACCTGCTGCCTGCTGGGTCCTGACGTCCCGATGCTGGATGAAAGGGCTCCTCTGGCCTGAGAAGTGGGCAGTGTGGCTCTGAGACAGGCAGGGCCCTGCAGCGGATGGCCTAGTTGGCCTGGCCTTGGCTCCTGCRCTTGGGGTGGAACTGCCCTTGGTCCCTGGACCCCAAGCACTGGCCTACCATTACCATGGCTGAGTGAACCTGGGCATGGCCTTCACCTATTGGACCTCAGCAACCCAGTCTGTGGAATGGGGACCGGGAGCTGTCCACCTGCAGGCAGAGGCTGGGTGGCAGGGCCCATCATCCCCAAGACCTAGGCCTGAGGGAAGGGCTTCTGCTCACACTGCTGGCCRGGTGCCTCCTGGTCCGGCCTGTGTCCTGCAGCCTGTGTGCGGTGCTGGACAGAACACAGTGCTCTGGAAGCCTGGCAGCGGCCAGAGCCCTCCCTGCACGGCCTGGCCTCCCTCCCTCTGCACAGTCCCTTCCTGGCGCCGTCCACTCCTAGGCCCTCCAGGCCAATTAAGCTAATTGCTCTCCGACTCCTCACCCCTGGAGAGAGGGCGCTGCGTGCCTGAGGTCTGCAGGCCAGGCTGCAGTGGGAAGCCGGGCACTGGGCCATTTCTCCCCACCTCTGGGCAGAGCTGGCTTCGAGGCAGGAGTGAGAAAGGAGCAGGGGTGGGAGCCCCGGGTACGGTGGTGTGGACAGCCTGTGTCTGTCCTGAGAGGCAGTCCACCYACCCGCATCTGAGCCTGCCCAGGAGTGGACCTCACCCCCACAGCCACCCCCACCCATCTGTCTCCCCCGACCTTTGGAGGTGGACACCGAGGCCAGGGCCTCCTGGGTCAGTGGGCAGGAAAGCTCCCCAGCCCCAGCCCCAAGTCCGAGGTCTCCAAAGTCTTCCTGCCTCCATCCTGCCCTCTTGTCACGTGGGTGTGGTTGGTACTCGGATGTGAAAGGATGACGGATGGAGGAGGGGCTTGGCCTGGA